CTAGGAGAACTTGGAAAATGGGAGAGGAAGAATAATTTATCACAAGCACGAATCAAGTGAGCAGCTACCAGCACTGAGCATCTAGTATGTGCTGTGTTAACATGTAATCTTCACAACAACTCTGTGAGCTAGGTTGTGCTACCTCTAATTTACGGATGAGGGAATTAAGATCCTGCGATTTCAGGTCATGTGCCTCAAGTGACAGAGCTGGTTTGTGGCAGATTTGGGATGCCAGACACTTTGGAGTGACCTCAACCTCTGTTCTCTTGCCACGTATAACCCTAGACCACTATACCTGTCTCTCCACAGTCATACTTGATTAAGGGTGTTTTCTAGTTTTCTGGTAAGAAGGGAATTGGAAGCCAGTGCGTTATATCCTTCTAGCACATATATCATATCATATCATATATCATCTCCTATCAGTGGTTGGTTGGGTAAATTTATGATTAAACAATGCAATGCTCTTTCAGTCATGCAGATTTAGTTATTTTCCCGTCTTCCTTTTGTTGTCTACATACATTCCCCATTGTATAACTCCTGTGGGTATTTGGGCTACTAGATGCATTGTGCCAGGCCATTGAAATTAAGGTTGGATTTCTTAACCAGGTGAGTAGTGGCCTTTAACTGAGGTTGGTTTGACAAAGGGTGTTTGGTTCTGGGCACCTGGGTGGCTCAGTTGGTTAAGCGTCTGCCTTCAGCTCAGGTCATGATCCCAGGATCCCGGGATTGAGTCTGCTTCTCCCTCTCCCTCTGCACCTCCCCTCTGCTCATGCACGCATGCGGTCTCTCAAATACATAAATAAATCTTTAAAAAAAAGAGTTGTTTGGTTCTGCTGCATATCACATCTGTCCTCATCTGTCCTCACCTGTCCATGGAGTACCATGGACAAGCCCACAGAGCCCCAACTGCAGCCCAGAGAGGAAATGACTTGCCCTAGTCAGTAGGTGGTAAAGCTGGTACCAGAGGCCTAGATCCCTGACTCTTGTTTGCATATTTCAATGCTCCTTTCATATAGGTAGGATGCATTTTTACCTAGACCTAGTGATGATTTCAAGAGCAGGGTTGGGAAGCTTTAGCTACCCCCTCTTCCTCTCTATCAGTACCCCACCCACCCCCATACTCACCTCTTATTTTGTCAGGAACAGCTGATGTTTCTGGTAAATTCTGTGCAAACACAGCCAGCTGGGTCCCCAAGCCCACCCCTTTCCAACCAACAAGGGGCCTAAGTCCTTCCTGTATAGAAATTCTGGAGCCATTAGTCCACGTACCTGCCTCTTCTAGGAGACTTTCAGCTTTTCCCCAAGGGCAAGAAATAGACCCCCCTTTTCTCTGATGCCCCCAAAAGTATAATGCCGGCTCTGCATAGTGTAGACTTGCAATGAATATTTGCTCTGGGGCCTGCTGCTGGAGTGGCCAGCTATGCTCAGTCCCAATTAAGGAAGTTTGTCTATTCGGAAATCGCTATTCCTTGCATAACCTCTCTAGGACAGGCAAGGAGTTAAAAGATAAGATGAATTTTAATTTTTTTTTATGGCTCCTATCACTTCAATGCTATGTATCATGGATTCCTACCCTAGACTGTGGATTCCTCAAGCAAAGCCACCATGTAATAGCATGTAGTTGCTACTCAGTGTTTCCTAAGTGCATGACTTAGAATCTGGACATGGGATCCTTATAGTACCTAATATGGTACCTAAGGGTAGCACACCTTATGTGGAAAAGTGCCTAGACATTTGAATGAATGTACAATCACACAGCAGTGAGCTTACATGATGCTTTTTACCATCGGAGAGGGAAACATGGAATTTACAACCCAATGTAAAATATGAAGGCAATCATTGGTCACCTCCATGCCTTTTGCTTTTCACATTCTAGTGACTTGAAGACACTGTTCTAAGAAAGGATAGTACACATTTCAGAATTGCTGTAGACATACGCTGGGTTGGTTATCTGCTCAGTTGCTCTTCTCTGGGTACAGCTCAACCTCCCCCGACCCCCTTCAAACACACGTGCTCACCAGACCCCTTAGAGGGTCCAGGCCGCCATGTTTATGCTGTGACCTGCTCAGGTTCTCTCTTCCAGGAATTTGGAATTTGAAATATAGAGACACAAAGAAAAGAGCTTGTCTGGGGAGGCAGGCCCATTAATGGCAGCCCCCCTGGAGGGGAAGTCCACACACACACAAACACACACACACACACACACACACACCAAGTGAGAGATAGAACCAGGAAACTTGGTAGTTCTCAGGAATAAACATATAGAATCTGGAAGCAAAATCATGTTTTCTCCCTCTTGCTTTCTGCACCTCCATGGTATTACAATAAAATACAATAAAAGCTTGTATTTTAGGTCATATTTCAAGCACTTCTAGAAGCCCATGGAAGGCAAGAATGGACTTACCTTTGTATTTCCCATAGGCCTAACCAATCCCTGGCCCTCCTCAGGCACTCAATGAACGTTGCTATGGTTGAATTAATTTGATTGGCTGTATTGACAAAAACAACAAATTTGCACGTTTCTGGGGCAAACAATATTAAAACTCTACTCATGTTTAATCACCTGTCATTGTGTTGAGACATTGTGATTTAGGAAGCACGTAGCCCTTAGAGGAGTACATATGCTTTAACAACAATGACAACAAGATGTAGTGTCCTTCTCTGCCCTCAGGCCACCCCCCAAAGGGCCATGTTCCCAGCTCCAGAACCCCACAGCGGATACACAGTTAGGAAAGGGTGCAGAGAGCAACGGGGACTTGCCATTCGCAGATACACCCCAAGCAGACCCTCTCCAGGGTCCAGGCTGACATTCGGAGCTTTCGAAACAGCTCTTTGGACACAGAGAGTGGAAATGTTCTGGAAAGAGCTAAGAATGAGCTGGCGGTTAGGAACAGGAACAGAATGAACAGAAGGCGGTAAGTGTGGAGGGTGACGTAGAGTCCTTCGGTGAGTGCTTCCAGGTGAGTAGCCTCCTGTCTGAAGAGTCTGTTAGTTCAGTGCACTGGCCACCTAAAGTCATTCCTGAAGGACTGGGCGATGGTTTGGTGAGGGAAGGGCGCAGAGTCAAGGCTGGAGTCCCAGAGACTCAGAGCATTCAGGGTGTGGAAACCCACTCCCCCTGCACCCCACATCAGGTGAACCTCAGCCAATGCCCTCATTCCTGCCGTCTGGGTGGCCTTGCTCTGGTAAACAGCTGTGGAATGTTGACACACATGTGAATGTGGTTGTAGCTGAAGATCGAACATTCAAACACCTTCCCTGCTGGAAAATCTCAGAAAGAGGCTGGACAGAGGAGAGGGGAATGGACCCAGAGAGCTTAAAAACTGTTTTTGTAAACCCGTATGTGCTACACTAAATATGTCCGTGATGTAAGTGGGCCTTGCACTTTGGGGGGGAGGTTCCATTCATGTTTTAGGATTCAGTGATAAGAAAATATATTCTTAAGTTTTTTTCCATGCCTCTTATGTATCTTGGAAAGTTAGCAGCTTAGATGAATTTGTTTTCGTACTGCAGCCTATTTAAAAAAAAAAAAAAAACCTTTTGATTTTTTTAAGTAATTACATGTACCATTTAGAAAAAGCCACCTTACTAATATTTTTTAAAGATTTATTTATTTACTTGAGGGAGCGGGCAGAAGGAGAGAGAGAGAGAGACAGAGAGAGAGAATCCTCAAGCAGACTCCACACTGAACATGGAGACTGATGCAGGGCCGGATCCCAGGACCCAGAGATCATGACCTGAGCTGAAATCAAGAGTTGGCTGCTTAACCAACTGAGCCACCCAGGCACCCCCACCTTATTAATATTTTGATAGACTTCCCAGACTCTTACTTATGCACCTATACATGAAAATAGGAGATCAGAGACGCCTGGGTGGTTCAGTCGGTTAAGCAGCCAACTCTAGGTTTCAGCTCAGGTCATGATCTTAGGGTGGTGGGATTGAGCCCCAAGTTGGGCTCTGCATTCAGCGTGGAATCTGCTTGGGACTCTCTCTCCCCCTCTGCCCCTCCCCCTGCTCACTCTCTCTCTCTCCAAAATAAATAAAATGAATCTTAAAAAAAAAAAAAGAGGGACCCCTGGGTAGCTCAGTCAGTTAAGTGTCCGCCTTCAGCTCAGGTCATGATCTCAGCGTCCTGGGATGGAGCCCCATGTCAGGCTCCCTGCTCAGTGGGGAGTCTGTCCCTCCCCCTGCTCATGCTCACACACATTCTCTCTCTCAAATAAATAAATAAAATATTTTTTTAAAAAAGAATATGTGATCGTAACATACTGTTTCATAACCTGACTTTTTTTTTACTCAAGAATTTATAGTGAACATATGTCCATGGCCATCAAAAGATGTACATCATCCTCATCAATCTTAATAGTTACATAGTATTCTATTTTATGAAGTTAGTGTAATTTGTTTGATCAATTCCTATTGATAAAATATTATATTGTTTCCAATTTTTGTCATACTAAAGCACATTTGATAAATGTTCTTTTATAATTTCTCTGCTCTCTTATCTCTATCATTGTTTTAGGAAAAATTCTTAGAAGTGTACTTTTTACATGGTGTTTGACACAGAGACAGTCATCTATCTAGAAGAGTTGTACCAATGTATGCCCTGCCTCCCAACAGCAGTGGGAGACTTTGACAGTCTTTTAAAAACAATTTTAAAATTGTTTCTATTAAATATTTAAATACATGAAAATGATATTTCTAACATGTGAAGGACATAAAGACCAATAAAACATCTGAATTTACCAGCTAGCTTAAGAGGTAAAACATCACAACCACCTAAAGCCCCCACCCTGCTCCTCAGAAGAATCTTCCTGAATTAAGTCTGTATCAGTCCCTTGCTTTTCTCTAGTTTTACCACACATGCTTGCATCCCTTAACTATATATGAATTAGTTTTGCAGGCTTTTTCTTTATATAAATGAACTTGTACTTTGTGTATGTATTCTTTTATGACTCGCTTTAAAAAAAACATTTGTAAGGGAAGCATAGCATGCATACAAAAAAGTACATGTATCATAAATGTTTAATCTGATGAATTTTCTCAGAATGAACACACAACATTTTTAGCAGCACAGAAAGGACTCTCAGCCCCCATCCAGTTACTATGTCCTTCCAAAAGGAACCCATATTCTGCTTGGAACACCATAAAATTTATATAAATGAAATCAGAGTGACTAACTTTATTTTTTATTATTATTATTTTTGGGGGGTGGGAGAGAGAGAGGGTGGAATATGGGCAGAGGGAGAGGGAGAGAGAGAATCTTAAGCAGGCTCCATGCCCAGCGCAGAGCCTGATGTGGGGCTCCATCTCACAACCCTGAGATCATGACCTGAGCCCAAATTAAAGGTGGGATGCTTAACTGAGTCATCCAGGTGCCCCTATTTTTTTTTTTAAGATTTTATTTTTAAGTAATCTCTATACCAATGTGGGGCTCGAACTTACAATCCCGAGATCAAGAGTCACATGCTGTACTGACTGAGCCACCCAGGCGCCCCCAGAGTGACTAACTTTTTACACTCAACTTCATGCGTGTTGCTGCATGCAGCTGTAATCATTTGTTGTTAGCATTGTATAGTGTTCTATTGTGAATATATCATAATTTATATATCCATCTATTGATGGATATTTGGGTTCCCTTCCAGTGTTTGATATTACAAATAAGGATGTTATAAACATTCTCATGTGTGTCTTCTTATGCCCAGATGCAAAAGCTGTGGAGGAGAGATTAGGAATGGAATTTCAGGATCATAGAATATAATTATAGTTAGCTTTACCAGGTAATGTTAAATGTTAATTCACCATATCACTAAAAACAAAAATTTTTGCCAATCTAATAGGTAAAAAAATTAAATATTATTGTTTAAAATCACATTTCTTGGGTCACCTGGGTGGCTCAGTCGGCTAAGCACCCAGCTCTTGGTTTTGGCTTAGGTCGCAAGCTCATGGGTTGTGAGATCAAGCCTCAAGTCGGGCTCTGTGCTCAGCAGGGAGTCTGCTTGAAGATTCTCTCCCTCTGCCCCTTCCCCCACTCGTGCTCGCACATGCGTGCTCTCTCTCTCTCTAAAATAAATAAATCTTTAAAAATAAAATAAAAGCTCATTTCTTTCATTACATTTATTTCATTATTACATTTTTACAAGCTGTTCATTAGCCATATGTAATTTTTATTTTGTCAAGTCTCTGTATCCTCAACCCATTTTTCTGTTGGGTTGCTGTTATTTTTCTTAATGATTTTCCAAAAATCTTTATATATTAAGGATGGTAGTCATTAGTGTATTATGAATGTTGCAAATATATTCCCTACAATTTGTTCTTTTTATCTTATAGTTTGGGTTTTGGTGCTTTTTGTCATTCAGAAGTTTAAAATTTTTCTGCCGTCAGAGCCACCGTTCTTTGTAGGTCCTGCCCATTCTGCTGTCAAAGCTATGCTTGAATACACTTTTGCACGTCGGATGACCTGTTTCTTAAGGGAGCTTTATTTTTCACGGATATACTGCATCTGGGTGGTCGTCCAAAGTTGCCAACCAGAGGTAGCAATGGCTGGGTCAAGGTGTGACCTGATGGTATTGCTGCTATGCAGATTTTAGAAGCAGAAGCAGTGATGAAGTTTCCATTATCTGGAGACCCATGTTCATCATAGATAGAAGGAAAAGTCAACTGAACTGTGCTAAGGCCAATTCTTTGCATCTTTATGCAAGAGTTGTGGAAGAAATGGTTGTTTCTCTCCAGAACCCAGCAAATAGGCTGGGCTCACTACAGCAGGGAAATGTCACCAAAGTGAGAACACCTGAGGGACAAAACTGGCCTGCCTACAACAGCCAAATGAACTCTCCAGCAACTGCCTGGCATGGGCTTCCCTCCCACAGGGGTTGTTGATTGCTCAGGCTTTTATAATTCTCAAGCCGTGTTCCAAGGAGCTTTTGTGGTTTAAATCAATGTGCTCTGGGAATAAGTGCCCTTATTATTCCTGGCTTCCATTATTTGCCGTGCTCTTATACCTCTGTGACATAATATCCTTTGTGCAGCTGTACAATAACAGTCCTTTCAGGAATCTCTAAGAGCTTTCTAATTAAGACCCACAGCCACATGACAGATGGAGACACGGAAGCCCAGGGACAGGGATGACAGAGCCTCACCTTGGTCACAAAGGTGCCGAGCCCAGGTCCGGCTCCCATCGGAGACTGCAGGGCACTGCTTAGGGTCCCCTGGGCCGTTGATCTATTGAGTTGAGGACTGACAACAGGAAGTGCCCCCTGGCTGGGCACTAGCTCTTGAGTTCCCAATCTGTTCTCCGTGGCTAAGCTCCCAGGGCCAGAAACTGCACCATGGCTAGGTCATTTGAATACTTAAAGTCAGTAAACTTGATTGACTGCCTTCTATGTGCCAGGCACCAGGAATGCAAAGATGAACTTCCAATCTCCCCTTCGGATGTTCACAGCCTAGAGAGAATAGGAGACAGATATGTAAGTGGGGAGTTACAAGAAGCTGAGTGCTTTAATAGAGAGGAGACCAGAAGGCTAGGGTGGTACCCAGCTCTGTGGGGGCTTTCAGGGAAAGCTTTTTGGAAAGGAGGACTTTCCACCTGGGTAAATCTTTAGAGACAGACTGAGATTGCTAGGCAGAGGTATAGGGAGGAGAACATTGCATGCTGGAGGCCAAGTGTGTACAGAGGCCTGGGTGTGTGAAATGCATTGGGGTTCAGGGGACAATGAGAATATCAACATGTCTAAAGTGGCCAAGGTTCTCCTATTGTTCTTTCTCTCTTCTGTTTTTATATCCCAAACTCCATCTCTTTTTAGTCTTGATAGCTTCCTTTGGATGTTAAAAAGACTGAATGTGGGGGGGCGGTTCTTGTCTTTGTTATTGCTGTAACACCTCCACTCCTCAGGGCATTGTGGACTAGGGAAAGATCATGTGTTGGGGAGTGCCCGAAAGAAAAGCACAACGATAAACATTTCGCTGCATTATAAGGACACAAGGGCAGCTCAGGGCACCTTGGACAGGAGCTCAGCTGGGCCGTCTTCTTTTATATAGCAAAAAACATGGCCTTGGATGGCTCCGGATGTTACCTGTTCAGGTCCAGCCACCCAGAGCAAGGTCCTGTTGTCCAAAGTGTGTGTAGATGCTGAGAAAGCACATGGAGATGCGAGGGGGAAACATGAGCTGCCCAGCAATCCAATAGACGACCCATACAGGAAGGAGTGAAAACATCTGATTTGAACTGTATGAGTCTGATGTGCAGCGGTCCTAGAGTCAGGCTGGGCTGGAGTGGTAGGAAGCCAAAGGCCACCTCTGGCTTCCTCTCCTGGCCTTTTCTTCCCGGGTACCTTCCATTGCTCCCTTCGCCTCCCACAGGGTCTTCCCGACAGCACTTTAGATACCTCCTCCGTCAATGAGAAAAATAATGCAGTATGCTGTTCAGTGTTCCCTCCGTGCCGTGTTGGCCCCTCAGCTAGCCGTCGGCACTATGGGCAAACACTTATCACCCTGACATAGATGATGACCAGTCACCAAAGCTTCCTGGGAGCACAGACCCTACATGCTGCAGTGCCCAGCATGTAACAAGCACTCAATCAGTCCATGGAAAAGGCAGGGAGAGAGATAGGGAAGGAGGAAGGAGAGATGGACAGGGAAGAACCTGGCTGGAAACAGGGGAACCCAAAACTTTCTAAACCATGCATTCTAAATTCTGACCTAATTCTAGCTGGTGTTGGAGGATAATGAACAGGACTCCAAGGAAAGAGTCGGATAAATGATCTAAAAATTTTTTTCGGGGTGCCTGGGTGGCTCAGTCGGTTAAATGTCTGACTCTTGATTTTGGCTCAGGTCATGATCTCAGGGTTGGGAGATGGAGCCCCATGTCGGGATCCATGCTGGGGGCAAGGCGACTGCTTGGGATTCTCTCCCTCTGCCCCTCCCCGCTGCCACCCCCCGCCCTCCAGCCACTGGCTTGAGCTCTCTCTCTCAAAAAACATTTTTTTTTGGGCGCCTGGGTGGCTCAGTTGGTTGGGCGGCTGCCTTCGGCTCGGGTCATGATCCTGGAGACCCGGGATAGAGTCCTGCATCGGGCTCCCTGCTCGGCGGGGAGTCTGCTTCTCCCTCTGATCCTCCCCTCTCTCATGCTCTCTCTCTCAAATAAATAAATAAAATCTAAAAAAATAATAATAAAATAAAATATTTTTTTTTCTCCTTGTGAGTTCTAGGTACTGGTCCACTCCCTCTTGCCTCAGGCCTCAGATTAGAGCCTGAGCTGTACTCTGGGCCTCTACTGGGTCCGCCATACCAGTAGGCTGTGCTCCCGCCATTACACTGCTCAGAGCTCAGAAACAGTAGAAAGCTTGCTCTTGTCTCCAAGGTGAACATGGGGTCAGCAGGCAGGTCAGACAGGGCTGCTCCATGCAGAGACGTGAACCAGTGCCGGAGGCCAGAGAAGAGCCAGAGGCCGATGGGGGGTGGGCGGTGGAGGGAGTCACTGGATCTTATCAGCAGGGCAGGGCCACATTAGCCACCATGTGTCCACCTTTATGCTGACCCCAAGGGCCAGGCAGCCTGATGGCTTCACACCAGATTGAATACGATACGGGCCAGGCAGGAACCCTGACTCCTGCGTCTGGCTGGAGAATATGAACCTGGAGGGATGGGCAGACGTTTCAGTGATGGAGAGAAAAGGATTCAAGCAGAGGGAAAATATGAACAAAGCCATGACGGTGAGAATGTGCAGACTGAGCTCCGGGGATGTCCAGGACGCTAGCTTTTTCCACAGACTAAGATATACGTGGAAGTGTGGCGAGAGGTGAGGCCCTCGGGGCTGCTAGGCTGGCGTCTCACTGTGGAGGGTCTTCAGTGATACCCTGAAGAATTCAGGTTGTTTCGGGAACCCAGTGGGAATAAAAGTTTTGAACCAGCAATGGGAGTAGGGAAGCAATGGGAATTGGGAAGCAATGGGAAGTAAGGATTACTCAGAGGACACAGAAACGGGCAACTAGGAAAAGAGGAAGTGAAGGTGATACCCAGGAAGACATAATGAGGCTGTGAACAAGAATGAGGGTAGTGGAAAGAGAAGGAGGGAACACTGTGAAGGACAGTCCTCCTCCCTCAAAAGTAGGACAGCTCCTCTCCCTGCCTAGACACATATCTCAGACACACTTAGGAGGTGAGAGGAAACATAACCTCTTCACCAGCCCTCTCAGCCGTCAAGCCCGACCCCTGCACCCCTGCCCCCACTTCTTTGTTCCCTTGACGTCATTCTGGGATATGGCCAGAGGCATTTGCTCTAAGGCCAGAAAGAAGCAGGCAGGGGTACTTATATCTGCAGCCGCACTGCCTGAGCGCTGTCTGGACAGCGTGTGTTTGGTGGGCGCACCCCCTCTCCCAGGCAGAGCCCTCCGCCAGAGAGCCTGCCGCCTGCAGGAGCGCCTGCTGATGGAATGGAGCCAAGGGGTCAAACAGTCCATCCCTCTGCCTCCAGAGAGGCTGTTGGCAAATGCATCCCTGTGGTTGGACAGCAGAGCTCACACAGTCCTAATGCCTCCTCCCTTAATTATTTTCACAGGTCACTAAGTTCTTCCTTCTCCCCAACTTAAACTTCTCATTTCAAGTCCCCTTGCCTCATGTTCTGCATTTGGCAAAAATAGCGAAGTCTCCTCAATAGGAAAATAGTTATGTTCAGTCAGGTAATAAGTGTCCATTGAGTCATGGGGCTTATACAATAGATCTGATGGCAAGAATGGAGTTTGGCTATAAGCCCACTTATTGTGCAGCTGCTAAATAACTCAGAAAGAATGACAGAGAAGACTGGGTTTGCTCACTGCACTCCTGACACTTCTCTTTTTGTTCCCCTCCCCCCTCCCCCGGGGGCTCAAAGATTATGCTGACAGGGATGCTGGTAAATGTAAATGTCCTCCTCCTGAGAGAGAATAATACATTTCTTTTGAGTCTAAGACATTTTAGTACCTTTAGGGTCCTCAAATGCCCTGGGACATCATCTTCCTTTAAAGCAGAGATGATGTGAAACATCACTATCTCATGAGGCTCGAGTTTCTTTTCCCACCATCCCCTGGGCCACCAGCCCGCGCCGCCCACTCCCCCGCAGAGGCACTTGGTGGGTCCTTGCATTGAATGCACACAGCTCTTCAAAAGGGCAGTCATTAGCTAAGGCTCAGATGTTAGGAGAGGAAACAGTGACTGAGAATAGGCAGGGGGTTGGTGTGGGGCATGGGAGAGTGGAGGGGGTTGTCTCTTCCCATGAACAGCACATGGCCACTTTCACCACCATTTGTCCACATCTGTGCCAACACAGCAGGTAGCCGACCCCTGCACACAAGACTGGATTTGCTACTGGTCACAGAGGGATACCAACCGGCATGTCTGCTTGGAGGAGTCAGGGACGATGTTTCTGCCCAGTCTGGAGGGACAGAAGGGCTATTCAGTGTGGCACAGCTGGGGTCAGGGGAGACTGTGTTGTGATTAGAGCTATTTCCCTATGACCATGGTTTTGGGGAGTTTTCTATTTCCCTCAAACACGGGGAATTGAAGCAGGCAGTCGACTGCTGTGAGGGGCTCAGGTTGGCTATAAGGAAGAACTCAGCCTGAGTGCTTTCCCGAAGGGCCACACTGGAAACAGCAGTGACTCTAGCCCAGACAGTCCTGTCCAAACCCATTCTTCTCTGCTTTCACTGGAGCAAACGATCAACTACCTAGGCAGCTCAGGCCTACCAGCATAATCAAGAGCATGGTGGGTTTCCCATGGCCTTCCCTCCCATGGTCTGTGCACAAACAAATGGCATGGCTATAAACCCAAGGAGCTTGTCGAACACTGCAATCCCAGCTCCTGGTACCCTATACGTGTTCAATAAACATTTGGTGAATGAATAAAAAGGGTCACCTGTTTTAAAACTGTGTCCTTGTTGGTTGTGCCTTTGGCATAGGTCTGGGGAATCTGTCCAAATTCACAAACTCCAGCTCAGACGAATGCTGCTGACTGAGCCACAGAGCCCTGTGATGTCAGCTGAGGCACCTCTAGTGCTCAGGATGAAGGAAAAGTGCTTTCCATCAGCTACTTCTGGTCAGCCGCTTGGGTGAGGAAGGAGGGAGAGGTAGTGCTTAGGACAGACTCATGGGCCCTCTCCTGTGTCAAGGGCCCTCAAGGAGAGATTCCTGATGAGCTCACTCCCTGAGAGATAATTCTAGCCAGGGCTAATATGCTTTTGAGCATCCCAGGGGACACTGTAACCACTAGGATAGATCTGATGTTGCTTAAGTGATTCTGTGATTACAGTCATTTCTCCCCAAGGCCCTGATACCTTGAAATGTGACATTGGAGGTTTGTGTCGTCCAACGGCCTGGCTAGAATCAGCAGTAGTTTCTGCAACATGAGACAATATTTAATTCTTTTGGAGTGTAAGCTCCTGTCTCCTCAAGGCCAAATGTTGACGTCACA